CGGGGCGGTAGGGTCGGAGGGCAGGATGGTCATTTTGACTGCTTTTGAATTTTTGGTCATTAATTAAATTATGACATATACAGATTTATTTATTTATTTTATTTTATTCATTTCAAAAGGGTGGGTGAAATATTCAATTTTGGTAGGCAGAACAAAAAAGAAATGTAAAAGCCTTTGCAAATTAATAATTATACATTTGATTTATATATTTTATTTTCCAAAAGACAAGTTGATGTTTGCTGACCTGTCTACTGTAAAAGGAGGCTTATTATTATTATTATTATTATATTATTATTATTATTATTATTATTATAAAAAATACTACAGTCCTATTACAGAATCATTCGTTAAAATTTATAACGGTTACATCATCATGTAATTATTGGAGATACTTGATCTAACGGTTACGAACTCCGACGAAATGGTTCTGTAACGAGACCATATCATTTCCTATTATTATTATTATTATTATTATTATTATTATTATTATTATTATTATTATTATTATTATTTAGATATGTGATTTGTTTACACTTATTTTCGTTTTCATACTAATACATATAATAAGCAGTAGGCCAAGTTTAGGTGTGGCTGTCCTCCAATCTCCCACAAAGAAAAGGTTTTGGACCTCTTTTGGTCTTCACTCTTGTGGTTGATATTATAATGAAAACAAAGGCATTGAATCTTAAATAATAATTGGGGGAACATAGTTGTGACCATTCATGTTTTTTTTTTTTTAACCCTTCAATGAAAACAAAGGCATTGAACTTTAAATTATAATTGTGGGAACATAGTTGTGGCCATTGATGTTTTACTCTTATTATTAAGTGTCAATAAGGAGTTTGAAACTTGACCGCGCCTTGCAATGCAGCAAAATTAGAATTTATATTTTTTCTCGACTAATCTGGACTAACTAGTAGTTGTGGCGAGCAAAGATCGATCACACGAGGAGTGCGAATCAAATTGTAAATTTCAGAAAAAGGGGAGATTGTGATTTAATAACTAAACTAAATAAAATTTTAAAAATATAAAGAAACGAAATAAAAATAAAATAAATAAATAAAAGAAATTTCTAGTTCACGGTTCCATCTATAACCTCAACCGACTCATCTAATCAATTCTAGTATCAAACTTCGTTTTCTTATGGAATTACTACTCGAACTTTTCCTTGCTTTTAATTTAATCGGGAGATGCTCTACGATTAAACCTGACTTCTTGTACAGTCTAGAACAAGCTCTCTAGATTTAATATAATTAGACGCTTTAGAATCTAGAAAAATAGGCTAAACTAAGTAGTAAATCCAACCGCGTGGTTCACTTAAATAGGTTGTGTTATCCCAGTAGTTAACAACTTTCGGTTGTTACTCATTAATTAAACACAACAACAATTACGTATTGCAGGTCTAACGATGATCAATCTAAATAAGACTCGACAAATCTAAATTATTCGGTCCTACAACATGCACAATCCAAAAGAAAAAAAAAATATTGAAATGATCAACCACGTAAATTAATCAAACATCAAGTTATAGGATTCGACTTCTCTGAAACTAGAAGTAAAAACTACTCTAATATAACAAATAAAAACAAAAATGGAAGAATAAAATTATGAGGAAATAGCTATTTTCACCCCGTTCTGAAGTCATAATAAGTTTTTCACACCACCCAATAAAAAGCTAAGTTTTACACCCCAAAATGTACGAAGACATATGCGATGAACTATGCGCTAAATAGGCGACAGGTATGAGCATGGGCGAGAAAATTATGAGTTAAAGTATGCGACTGTTCTACGATGAATATTCGGAGATTCGATGTACGATTCGGTCCGTCGCCCATTAAATAATTATTTTTGTTAGGCGAATGAACTGCGACTATTAGTCGTAAAAATTATTCTGCGACACAACTGCGACATACCAACATCGCATATTATTCGAAGAATTAATGCATAATAAGTTTTTTTTTTCGTATTTCTTTCATATTTCAGTTATGCCAGGCGGTATGCGAATTACCGCATATTGCTCGCATACCCTCTTCGCACTTCTACTCGAAAGTGTATTTTTTATTTCTTTCATCTTTCAGTTATGCGATGGGGTATGCGTATTCCCGCATATTGCTCGCATACCACCTACGCACTGCACATGTACGAAGACATATGCGATGAACTATGCGCTAAATAGGCGACAGATATGAGCATGGGCGAGAAAATTATGAGTTAAAGTATGCGACTGTTCTACGATGAATATTCGGAGATTCGTTATACGATTCGGTCAATCGCGGTCCGTCGCCCATTAAATAATTATTTTTGTTAGGCGAATGAACTGCGACTATTAGTCGAAAAAATTATTCTGCGACACAACTGCGACATACCAACATCGCATATTATTCGAAGAATTAGTGCATAATAAGTTTTTTTTTCGTATTTCTTTCATCTTTGAGTTATGCCAGGCGGTATGCGAATTACCGCATATTGCTCGCATACCCTCTTCGCACTTCTACTCGAAAGTGTATTTTTTATTCCTTTCATCTTTCAGTTATGCGATGGGGTATGCGTATTTCCGCATATTGCTCGCATA